CAGATTATCAGGCTCCCTCTCGAACAGTGCCGTCACCACCGGGGCCAAGCCGATGAGGTCACCATTAGGCCGAATAAGATGCTCCCTCAATAGGAAGTCCACAGTGTAACGGAACAGGACCACCGTCTGAGGACACACTTCTCCCATGCATGCCAACTTTAACATAACAAACCTCATTAGCCAGGTTCATCTCGCTACTGTACAAGGCCCTCGTCATCATCGTCATAATAGCCCTATCAGCTTCCACTGTGAGCCGACCTTCTGCCTTCAAACGCTGCCTCAATTGGATTGCCCGAAGGACCTAACACCACCGATCGCCCCTCCCGATGCGAGATCACCCGATCTACAAGCCTTCAACTGTGATACAATCCTACAGCAATGAGCACTAATCAAAGACAGCAACGCTACAGCTGATAAAGGCTGGCATTTCTAAGTCATAAGGCCAGACAGTAAAACATCAGTAATAGCGAAGCTTCAGCAGTCAAAAGCAAATCTTCGAATAATATCTTTGCATAATAATGCAAATCCCTTGTCATCTACTTTCCCTGCCATGGCTAGACGAAGCAACTCGATTAAGCCACAAGTGACTCATCCTATGCTAGGAGGCCCTTTGGCCGAAGACTCGGCTGATTCACATAGACCTCGGGTTCAATTCCGGGAAGCGACATTTTTCCGCCAAAATGGTTTTTGATCGTAGACGATTTACCCTCCATAGAAAAGAAAACATGCTTGAGCCATACTTTTGTACACGCACGCACAGTCGAGGATATGTATTCCACTTTCGTCAAGAACCCCCTCCCCACCAGAGTCGGCGTTAGAGAGAAGTCTCCCCTCAAGAACGGCACGTGACTCCCTTGGAGTTGCCTTATATCGCTGAATGGTAGGTCGAAGAAAATGACGTTTCCCAACTGACACAACGTTATCTGTCCCAAACAGCATGCGAGCATGCCTTACCAAATCAAATCCTCTTCTTCCAGCGCGACCAGCCATCTGCCTATACATAAGAGCATTCAACTCCACTGATGAGCCCGCGAAGACTGTCGCCTTGCAGGGCATGTTTATTCCCAACGCTAGCGTACCTGACATTACAGCCCCTCACAGCCCCGAACACATCTCAACAATGACCTACCAGTAGCAACAACCACTTGCAAGAAGCCTTTACGGAAGAGGATCTCAACCTAACAACAACAACACCCTCCTCCTCCCAACGTCCTGCCTCACTCCCCTTACAGTCTTCCTAAAGCTAGCCGGCAACCCCTCATGATGCATACCAATACCTCTCCTCAACGCATCGATGTACACCTTCGGGAAAGAGGACCTACCAAGGCAATGAGGCAGTCCCTGCATTTTTGCTCTCCTACTTTCTCTCCAATTTCTTGATAAGTTCCTCAACATCGGGATCGCTCATAGCCTTCACACCGCAGAAGTAAAACTCAGGATCATACCTACAATGATGTTATAAACTACCATCTTGCTAAATCTTGCTATCTTACTCTTCCTCAACGGGGATAGGCTTCGGCACCAACTCGTCCAACACCGTTTGATCGAAATCCTCATCATTCGCTTTCTGCACAAAACAAAAAAATAAATTCTCTCCATACCACCCCTCGGGCACATCATCCAAGGCCTCCCCCCCATGCTCACCATCCTTTCCATCACTTTCACCTGTTCGACCTTCTTCTTGTAGACCTCCATTCGGCGTTTATTCTCCATCTTAGTTCGATGGTCTCTCTCCTCGCTACCGTGATACTTGGCATACTGTTGCTTAGCGAGGTACTGAGTGCATCTTTTCACCATCGCCTACAGGAAAATTAATAAACACGGCCGCTCGAAAATCAAATTTCCACCCACCATAATGTCGTGTCGGTCGAAGTTGAAGATCAGCGTAGGTAGGAGGTGTAGCTCCTGCAGATCCCGTATGAGCTGGATAGTACGTGCCGGACGAAGATAGGTCGCTTCTCGACCAAGTTCAGATAAACTGGATAAGACACAAGACTCCCACCTCAACGACCCCGGTTCAAATCCCCCCGACGGTATTACTGCGGCGCCAAATGGTCTACTCCATCATTATCAACTCCTGTCTCCTCATCACCACACGAGGAAGCGTCAGTAGACAAAATATCCTCCTCACCTAAACACCCTATGTCGAGCAGGAGAGATAATACATATGTGAAAATATGCATACGGTCAACCACATGCGTTATTGATAAGAATTTCTTGCTGGTTTCTGAACACTCCTACACGTACATAGACTCCTATGATTAGTGAGGAAACTCAGCTGCGAGGAAGGGATATCTCAGGTTCTAGCAAGTACGATACACTAGAGCCTCCCATACACACTACGGGCATGGTCATCATCTCAGACAGTCTTTCCACACTCTAGATCATCCCACGACTACGCCTCCCACGATCATAACAACCGTAACAATCACTATTACCAGCAACCTTTCTCCACTTCTTATTCTCCTCGACAGGATTTCCCCGAGCACTAGGGTTACGCAGAATACCCACGACGTCGTTGAAGTCCTCATAATCACATACACCTTCCCTCAACATCGTCGACAGTGCTGCTCTCAACTGCTTCTCATACCATCTGATTCCAACATCTTCCCAATTTCATCTTCACCATAATTCTCACCTGAATTGTCTCTTGCTGATACACCCACGCACAAACTTGAAGAAAATTTTAGGTTCCAATGGCTCCAACAGGGAATGTACGAGCTCCTAAAAGAACCTCTCTCCCACATAAACACTTCTCAGACTCACCCTATCCTTATCCGATCTCCTAGTGTCCTTCTTTTTATCCAGCATGACAGCCTTGAGAGCGACATAGCACTCAGCTGCCTCCTCAGGGGTCATCACCAAATCAGATGGTAGGGAACCGTCATTCACATCAAGGTACGTCAAGCACGCTATCGGGTGCAGTTCGAACAGCCCCGAGCCCGATATGTACACCCACTGACGACCAAGACAACCATACCGCACTTCCTCCACATCAACGTCGAAAAAGGCCTCTCACCTTCTTTAAGTCATTGAAACGTTCCTTATA